GGAAATAATTTTGTTNTTATAGTTAGTCAAATGATCCCAGGCCATTGCGCACAAGGTCGGTCAATATGAAATAACATTGAACAATATACGTACCGAAATAAGTTTCAAAAATTTAACTTTCATGCCAAAGAAAACCTTGCATTAATCATATCAATACAGCCGCAGATTTGAGAAAGGTCAGCCTAATATACGTAGTCCTAGCTTTATTAACTGGATTCACATTGCCGTCCTACCATATTGAGAGCTCCAAAATACAACATAAAGGTCGTTAACAGAAATCGAAGAAATAAGAAATAATGTACAAACAGTAAAGTTATCAGGAAGACCTTCATAGCGGTGAGATGACTTCTATTGATGAGGAGCTTCTTTAAAATAAGCCGAAAAGAAGTTCGGGATGTAATCGGACAGGCTCATTTTATCTTTGTACATTCTCACAAGGTTTGAATTGGATCATGGTGCGCGGAATTCAGTTCGTCGTTGAAGATTACTCAGAGCGCGTGAAGTCGATCTTCTCAACAGGCTCTTTTGGGTGGTTAGGTTAGGTATTTTCCATTATGCATGGTCCCTGAGTTACTCTCAGTCACTTCATTGCAAGCCCTTGTTGCCTTGGGTGTCTATATTCCTGAATTTATGATGAATATTCAGTTAAGCACTGGCATCGGCCGCTCTTCGTCGATGGGCAACAGTCGCTTCTCCTCCAAAGTAGCTCTTTCATCCTTGGTAAGAACAGATTTTCACTTGGCGTCCAAATGGAAGACGTTGCGAACTATTTAGTGAGAATTTAATGACATAGTTGTAAACTTAATTGCCCATCAAATAATCGATAAGCATTAAACATGGCTATTCACTGAAAAACTGTGCCTCCGGAGATTAAATGTGTCGAAGCAGGATAATATATCTGAATAATTAGTGTGTACATATTGAAGATTAATATCAAGTATACGTTGTTTAAAAGACTTTCCTGAAAACGGTAACTGTCCAATGATACATATGATGTTACCTCTACTTAGTATATAGTAATTGAAGCCACTCAAATCGACATACATCTGTGGACAAAATCGTATCTACAGTCAAATAAACAGAGCTTAGCACATACTACAGCTTTAGCAGAATTCTGACATGTAGTTCCCATAGGCATGTAGTCCCAATCCGATTAAATAATTCTGATCATATATATAGTATAGCTTCGTCACTGTCGATCTGAGGACTGAGCGTCTCAGCTTCCCAATCGCCAGATGTCTTCAAAATTTGCCGACGCATCTCAAGCGTCTCTTCACGGCAGTCGTTGCCCTTAGTATACTTTTACTGCGGAGGAGCAAAGTCTTGGTGCTTCCTATTAGTGTAGGGCGGCAGTCCTCGCTGACGTCTGGTCTTGCGCAGGCAGCCACGCGGTCTTCGCAAAGACGTAAGCAGTTCTGCCACCAGATGAACCCATGTCCTCCACGGGGGTCGAGGTGAAATTCTCGTGCTTCGGCAGAATTACCATGCACTGTTTCTGCAATAGAGACATTAGTGTTGTATTTTGTATCAATGGAGTCATACATGCACTGTTTCTGCAATAGAGACATTAGTGTTGTATTTTGTATCAATGGAGTCATACATGCACCGTTTCTGCAATAGAGACATTAGTTTTGTATTTTGTATCAATGGAGTCATACCTAGAAAATGTCGCAGACTAAAAACGAAGCGAAAGTTGTATTCTAAGAAAGAAGCAAAATATCCGTGAAATAAGAATCACAAACGCTCTTTGACGAAGTTTCAATATTGGTTCCTCGGTATCACAGTGTAATACTGATTTGCTATTTCACATAGGAGGCAAGAAAAGTTTGAGCTAATAACGATGTGCTGTTAACTTATACGTATTATTACAGTATTGCCGAGTTTAGAAAGCGCGAATTATCCTATTCACCAAGTTTGGAAAATAGTCAGACATTCGCTCGCAGATGATAATGCTTAACTTTTGCATAATCATGCAAACATTCTGTCAAGAGATATTTTCAATTTTCTAACACTAATAATATTCGTATGATTTTGAGTTACAATATAGTTCGATATACGACAAAATACTTTTATATTTAATTCGATCACTCGAAAGTTGTGATTTTCATTTAGAAGGCGCTAGCGGACTGAGCTAGAACCATACGGTTGAATCACTTTGCTTTTTCACGTCGACGTGTAAACATCCCGGCCCGGGGTACGAGTCTCAGCCGATCGTTTGATTTAAATAAGCTGTTTGTGATTAAATATTTCAAAGTGTAACCGTCAGAACTATATCATGGTTTGCTCTCAATGTTTTCTAAGTGTTGTAATCATTTTCGTTTGAGGAACGAAAACAATCTAATTAGAGCTCGGAGTTTTAGGCTGTTTGCTTTGAACATTATAAAGCTCTATTTGATCTTTAGATTGTTTCTTCCTCGAATTTAATCGTAGCGATAAAGAAAAAGGAAGAAAGCGGCCTTTGGCAGCTTTGCTACCGTTGACCTTGAGTGGTGCAGAAGCCAGCTGGGGTAGTCTGCCTGCATTCAATCGTAGCACTGTCCGTGTAAAGAAGTTTGGGGAGGAGGTGGTCTCAGCACAGCCTAAAACTCCGAGCTCTAATTAGATTGTTTTCGTTCCTCAAACGAAAATAATTAGAGCAAACTCCGTTTTAGGCTGTTTGCTTTTCTACCAAAGTCGCCCTTTAGGGTCTGGGGGAGGAAACTTTCAGACTCCCATGAGAGGTAAAAGAAGCAATCGAGATATTTAAACCAAGGTTTACTTAATTAGTGGGGCAATGCAA